GAAAGAATCCCCCCCCCCCCCCCCCCCCCCCCCCCCCCCTGGGAATAAACCAGCGGACGCCCATGGCTGGAATGTCTAAACGGAACGGAGATAGTTGCACCGACCCACACAGCTTGGTCTGAATCCTCTTCGTGGATTAGTCTTTTCCTTATCTTCTCTCACCCCCGGCTGCAAAGATTAGGATCGTTTCAACGGCTTTCCCCCTTGATTCTGCGGGCGTTCCTGACGTGTCCGTACGTATGTGTTACTAAGATATATAACTCCGATCGTTACCCACGGTGGGATCCGAAATACAATACAATACGGTACATCAACAGGAACAAAGAAAAAATTCAGCTAGAGCTAGCTAGCAATTCAGCTAGAGAAGAACTTACATTCACTCGTCCACCCCGTCGACACCCATCCAATACGTAGAGAAAGGAAAATGAGCTTTGGAGAGACCACCGACTAGAAAAGGCTCACCCGAGTGAAAAGCGAGAAAGATCACACACTTTCCACCTGTGCACACACGATCAAGAGTGACAGTCAGCCTCCTGAAGGTTTTCATTCCCCACTTTCAGGTAAGGAGGGAGAAGCGATGAGGTGACTCCACTCAGTACCATTAGATGCGGTGACCTCTGTTTCGGAGCAAACAATTATCTTCGTTGAGTAAGCGTAGCCTCGTAACGAGTCGTCCTGCGGTATCGTGATACGATTTTCTTCTCTGCCCTCGTTTGGAAACTCTGCTGCCCTCACTTCCAAACTTTAACGTACGTTTTGACAGGAAAACTTGGAGGGCTACGGCCAGAAATGAGGAAAAACGAGAACGAAATTCAAGAGAAATTCTCGGTTAAATACCTTGTAAAAACAAAACTCGTCCCTTCAAGGTGTGCCCGATGGATTTCCCATGCAGCAACACCCTCGAGAGACGACACTCAAATCATAGGGTTGTCGAGGGCGTTTCACACTTCGCGTGCCATGCGTCCTTAGCGTCGACGCACGCGTGCCCACTTACATTCGAGGGCCTTCGCAAAACAGGGCTTGCGTGCGGAATTGGGATGAGCTCGATCGAAAACGCAAGTCTTGCGTTTCGCGAAGTTAAGGGACGCGTGCATTTTCCCAATCGCCCGAGCATCCACGCAAAGGACGCACGACACGCTAAGTATGAAGAGCCCATTAGGAGTTTCTCAAAGTACTCGTCGAGTAATTTGAGAAACTCCGTCTTGGAATGGATATTTCTTTGAAAATTAACGCTACCAGAAGTGAAATGATATTTCTCCCACCTACAGCAGCATTATTTTAAAGTCAACTTGGATACCAAACCACGCGCCAAAGGTTTTAAAGGAGCAAATAAAACGAAATCGAGTCCTTCGTCGAGGCTCTGCTCCCGCTCTGCCCTACGGGCATCGTGACGAACAACTGCTACGGCCGGTGGAAAGCCGACCGATGGATCTGGACGTCACAGGACGACACACACAAGAACATCGGATCGCCGGTAAACGACTCGTCGATGGGGGAACTCCCGTGCCGAACTCGTCCAGCGTCGTTTGGTTCGTCTCGGTCTCCACGAAGGAACTCAAACCATAGGCGCCGAACCCAGGGGGGCAAGGGGGTACGTGCCCCCCCCCCCCCCAACTATGTATTATTGAGGGGGCAACGCCCCCCCCCCCAAATGGCCAAATTTCAGCAAAAGTATGGCACATGGGAAATTGAAAACAAAATGCTGCTTCACGAAAGAAATGAAAAATTGATTTTCCTTTCTGTTTAGAGCTCTAACTGGGGGAGATCCCTGCATCACCCCGTAAGGGTATGAGGTGGAAGGATCATGCCCANTATCCGCCTCCCCCCTTATGGTAAAACCTATCTTGGTGACTGATAGGAGGAAAGGCATGTTTGGGTAGCATGATTGACCTAGACAATAAAGGAAAGTTTGGACAGTCACTGGAGACCCTTGGCAATCCACTCAAAATGGCTTGGCCCCCCCACCGGGGGGGGGGGGCCAAGTCATTGTCGTCATTGCTACCATAATAATACTGTACTGAGCTACCACAATGGATCCTGGAATAATTCCGTCACTGTTATTTCAAGGGCATTAGGAACTTGCCCCCTTATATTTTTTATAAGTCGGTGCCTATGACCGAAACCACTTGAAAATGCTTCTTCCTCCACGTCACATTTGCTCCTCGTCCAATCTCTTAGAATAAATTCCCTTTGTTTTTTACTGTCTCAGAATAATTGAGAAACGCCGTCCATAAAAAAATGACTTCTCGACATTTCTGACTGGCTTCATTTCGATCATTCACGAGGCCTCGAAGACCGCATCCTCGCGTCACAAAATTTTGAAAGACGCTCAGATTTCGAGTTTTCACCGCTCGTTCTCGCCAGCACGATACGCGTCTGGCCGACGAGAAAAAGCGTTGCAATCCTCCCGCTTAAAATTTCCAACGTTCCTATCCGTGATAAATTAAAAACTAGCACGAACAAACGCGTTCGCCGCTGGAACCCAGGTTAGAAGAGTAGATAAGGTTGGGTCGAAAGCGAAGCCCCGAATAATGGCGGTTCTAGCCATAGGGCAAATGACGTCACTGGTATACACTTGCCCGACTGCTCCATTCTCGCCATTGGTTTTCCTCCGACGTAATGACATCATTTGAAGCATAATGTCCACATTTCGTAACCAATCGCTCTTTTAAAAATATATCCCTTAAATTGAGGAAGGGAACGCATCGAATGGGAAAGAGGCGGAGAGGATTCCGTACGGAAAAGTTTGAGGGGAATGCGACTGTAGTGAGAATATATTGGTAGGTCACACCTCATACGATTACCCTATTATTTACGGAAATTGTTAACACGTGTCCATTTGCCCTTTTGAAATGGCAATGGAAATATGCGTTCATTGTCACACTTCGTTCTGTGTTGCTCTATCCCAAAATCTGAGGAAAGGAGCTCGTTTGTCATGGTCAGGGCAAATCGCGTGATTTTCACGAACACCATGAATATATTCCTTCTCACAAACTTCAACGAAAGATTTCCGTTTCTTCCTCACCTTATTGTCCTTGCTGAGCAACTCAGAATTTATTAAGAGAAAACAGCCGCGTTCTTACAAATATTCGGGATACTCGATGGTCGACTTGGAATTTCTATTGGATCATCTCGGCGAAAGATGACAGTCGACCCCAAAGGGTTATTTTGGGGTCCCTCCCTCAGTCTATTTCAGGGATTTCATTTTCCGTGCGTTTCCACCGCATCACTTAGGTCTTTAACTACCCAGGTTCCTTCGAAACGATGAAAGGAACATTTCTCTCTGTCGGCTCCAAAATCATCAGATGTTCTTGCAGGCGGCGACTGCACATAGGACCGACATCTGCGAATGCTATGATCCTGGCAGCACCACAATCTAGAGATGCAATCGTTTAAGCGCAATAGAACGGAGGTGCAAAGAGCAAGGTAATATGGCAAGAAAAAACTACCCGATATGACATTTTTAACAGAGGAGAAATAGACTAGAAAAAGGAGATTTCATCAGTCAGCCAAGGAGAGTGTATACCAGTGACGTCGACCATTGGCTCGAGAGCCAATGACGTCACTGGGATGTAGCCCAACCTTTTCTACTCTTCTAACCTGGGCTGGAACGATTTCGTTCTATCGGGTCTTCGCTCCATCACGAGAGAGTCGTATATCTCCTAATCCGGTCCTCGACCTCTTCTATGTCGCGACCCGTCCAACTTTCTTCTCGTATTTATGCGACCCACAAATTTCGAAGCATCCGGAAATAATGCAACCGTGTGACATGCGAAAAAAAAGAAAGGAATATTTTAAAGTACGGAAATGACGCCTTCGATATATGGCACAGACGATTCCTTTCGGTTTCTTTTCCTTTCATCCCGTAATGTCGAGTCGTTTCGATCGCAGCTTCAATTTTAAAGGCTTCGTGGAAGCAGTTAGAAACGATGCATTCTGGTTTCCTAGGTTGACGTGGAAACCACGGAGGGCACGAAACGATGTGCTTCCGGATCGGCACCAGCTTCGAATTTTTTTTGTTGGCCGGACTTCCGTCCGAATGACTTCACCGGGTTTGCTGCCGTTAGTTAATAAAACTCGGTTGAATCAGGAAACGATCCAACTCCATCTCGAGGTTAAACTGAAATAAGTGACTACAGGAAATCATGGATGATGTGAATTTCGTAACTTCGTAAAAAAAAAATAAATCAGTTCAGGTAGCATAGAAACGAAATCGAGAAAATAAATTTCGGCTTCTGCCCATAAAAAAAAAAACAGCGTCGCGCACAGCAACAAGGAACCGGTAAGAACGTTGGAACGAACTGGAGATCAATGTCAAGAGCAGTAATGAGTAACAAAAAAAAAAACATTTTCCTGCTATTTGCCTTTTCTAGGAATTGTTTGTCAGGAAATCCCTGCGTTACCTTTAATCTGGGTTAGTAGATTAAATCGTCCTTGGGAAGGTTAGCTCATGCAATGTTGCCCGGCAGTTTAGTTTGGCGCTCATGATTGATTCCCTGTCTACTCTTGCCCCTCTTTAATTTTCTATATATTTTACTTTTAGTTTCCTTCTCTCGCGACCCACTGGTCGAGAATCGCTGTATTTGATAACTGAATTCCATTATACCCGTGCATATATGTTTATTATTTCGTGGGTGCACTAAAAGGGCCCGACGGCGTTTCGTGGACGACAGTACTTTTAACGTCTTCGCTGCCACATATCTGCTGGTGGGTCACGCGGCATCGCGGTCAAGGCGTCGGAAAATGCGTTGGCAGCAGACGTCTCAAAACCCTTTCGCTGCGAAAAGCGACTTCAGTTGCTTCCTGTAACGTTGTCGTTGGCTGCGTGCCAAAATCAAACACGCCACGAAAGGGTCACGTGCGTAAAAGCCTCCGGCGAGTAAAGGGCATGGGCCTTCTGAAGCCTTTTAGAATGGTACTGGAACGAAGAAGCCCGACGAAAAGCTGCTGAATCGGAGCACTCGAGTGCTTCGTTCGCTTGCATCTTCCATGTTCACATCCCCCGCCACACGCACATTCACATTTCCCCTATTACGCACATTCTGCACGCGCCAAATCCTTGGGGTCTCAGGGCGTGCAACTGAAGACCGAAGTGAAGGGATGAATAGTGATAAGGTCTGACCCGTTTGCACTTCCGTCAAGAGGGAGAAAAAAAAGGATTTCCTTCTGGACTGGGGAAAATTCATCACATCCTGCGTACTTTCGGCCTAGGGACACAGAAATTCTTTCGTTACATCGGAAACTTCTTTATATTCGACTTCGATATATCCAAATTTTTTAGCATGGGTGTCTATGGACACTCGACCGGGCAACAAGGACTTAGGTATAACCGGCTTTTCGTAATATCAGTATTCGTTATACCGAGAGTTGACTCTACGACTTTGTAATGAGCAATGTCGAACTTGCAAAGACAAAAGACAAACGCTCGATTCCCTATGGTCTGTGACCCCTAGTACTTGAGATACGACACACAGAAGGAAGATCACACTGAGAAGTCATTGGCTTTTATTCCTTGTCCCGAGTTTTACAAATATAGACACAGCACTAACCGAGAGAGACTGGAGAGAACGATCCATGCACTGCCACAGTCATCATCTTCATACCAAAAATATTATGCAAATACAGGAAGAGAGAAGAAACAATCCAGGTACTAAATCGAGACAACCTCTAAAATGGAGAGACAGAGGAAAGAGAGCATGAGGATCACTGGAATGTGCCGGACAGCATCGAGACGGCCGGAGTGTCAAACGTTCCGGAATGAGAAGGGGGGGAGGGGGGGTTGAATCCTCTGACGTGGAGATCGACCCGTATATCGCAGGAATAAATACGACCGCGGCCGTGCCATAAATACGTAGCAGGGAAGTTGTAGCAGCGAGAGCAACTCATTGCACGAGGGATCAAACATGACAACAACCATCAGCTGCCTTCGTTTCTTTCAAGAGACCCCCATCAACATCACATGACTGAGTGAGGATGAAAATGCATCGAGTATTTGCAAAAATAATAACAAAGTGAATCATGGGAATGATGAATAAAAAAGAGTTGAATGAGACCTATTTCACCGAAGAGGGGAAAGACTAGGAATTTTGAATGAGTTCGGTGAGGCGAGTCTCAAAATACGTGCGCAAGTTATGCCCGGCTTTCCCGACTGGAGAATCATCTTCGTTGAACGTCTCACAGTTGTCGAAGATCAACCGTGTGTCTGTGATGAACTCCTCTCGGCTTTTGTACCTGCAGAAACCATGTACAATTGCAGTAAGCTTACTCAAAACGTACTAAATTGGGATTTGCAATCGAGAAATCGTTCATGGTACTCACGATCCCTCGTTGAGTCTCCGCTTGATGGTACTTAGGTCCATGGGATTCTTGATGATTTTTTTGTAAGTTGGGAACTGTTTCGTGTTCACTGGAGTAAGGAATGGCCATGCATCATCATGTGCCTCCATTTCAGTAAGGATTGTATGGCACGGGGCAAGGTCCTTCAGGATCTATTACAAAAAATCACTTTCACAGAGACCTATGCTTTGCACCCAAAAAGGACTTAATTGCAGAAGGGAAAATACCTTCTTGGAGAGACGCTCCTTCTTGGCTGGGGAAGGGGAGTCCTCATGTCGATCAGAGGTGGACTCTGATTGAGAGCATTCACTTGTCTTGGAGCGACGACCTCGCTTCCGATTTGGATGCTTTGCCTGACAACCCTGGCAGTACCACTTTCCACGTGGCACCTGCCATAAAAGTTATACAACCATATTATTCAATACCATAGAGTACATGGATTCAATCATTAGCAACACCATCAGGATGCATGATCAACATTTCAGCAGTTTCACTACTGCATAGATGTCATAATCATGAACAACTGTGAACTTTCACCCATAATGAACAATGTAAGATGATAAAATTTGGCATCCCCATTTATTTGAAGGCCTTGAATTACCTTCTTTTTCTTTCTGAAGGTGAATTGAAAAGTAATGAATGGTCTTTTCCTTAATGAACTGGAAAGGACTTATATACAATTCTGGCATTTTTCAGGAGAAACGGAACTAGCCCTTTTTATGACTGAAGAACTGAGAGAAATGAAGAGGACGAACCTTGTTGAGGGGAGGAGTAAGGCACTCGATGTGAAATGCTTTTGGACAGGCGTCACAGATGCAAATGCTGCGGCCCAACCCCCCACATGCAAGGCAATGCCTCTCTCCAGTTGCCTTGTTTACACACTCATAACAGTACCTATGAGAGGTATACAGTTCTCTAACTTTTTAAAAATGCAAAATTAACTTACTCAAGATGAAAGGAATCATACCAGTCGCCATCAGGAATATCCTTCATGGGTGGCTTGAAGCAATATGTATGATAGCCCTTATCACATCCATCACAAAGGAGAAGTTGATCCTCATGATCCCCACTATGGCAAAATTGGCAATTCTGCAAAAGTAACAGTCAGCAACTAAATTAATTCTGCACTTTCAGGAGGTCTACACAATTAACAAGCCAATTGTTTCCAATATCCTGCTTTTAAACATCCCTCATACCTATTGATAAACATCAAAATTAAACAATGAATATATTATTATATGTATATTATAAAAAGGAATCATATACAATTCAGTGCTTTATCATTGCAAAATAAAATCAGGTAAGCACATGGTTGTAGTACTTCAAGCTTCTTGATTCACCTGGAATTTAGCTTTGACTTTAATCTTCATTGTCTATAAACATCTAAACCTGGCATGGCTTGCTCAAGCATGCCAGAAGCAGACATTGCCATAGAATTTGAAGGAAAGAAAAGGAAAAGAGGGACAGACTGTCTCCATAGTCTAGTCAGGTTAGAAAAGAACTAAACTCACTGCTTTCATGATGGACTTGTCCCAGGCAATGCAAGCCTGAAGCATGTGAAGGCACATGGAAAGCTGGGCAGCTGTCTTGGACTGAGACAAGGCATCCCTCCAAACCAGAAGACCCTTGGGTAGATTCTCCTCTACAGGAGAGGTCACCAATGACTCTCTTTCATCCTGTCCTTCCCCTTCTTTCTCATCTTTTCCTCCATCTTCACTGAAACTCCTGTCCATAGAAGCATCCCCATCCTTCTCCAAACTTGTCTCACTGGGATCCACCTTTTCCTTTTCTTTAGACTTCTCCTTGGCCAGCGTGCTCAAGTTCACATTGCCCCCACTTACAAATACATGTTCTCATGTTATAATTCTCACTTACAAAGAGCACAGAATTACCTAGTAAAAACTTACCTGGTTCCAAGAGGAGCCTTGATATATCGGCGTTCAATGGCACCCTCCAAGGTCAAAAGTCGTTCCCGAGCAATCTCCACTGCATTCAGCAGATTTTCCTTTTTCTCAGAAGGTGGATCACAAGCAGGATAGAACTCAAGAGAGTCGTCGTTGGAGAAACGAGGTGGTGGACGATACCACTTGACCTGCATGGAAGCTTGCATCACCTTCTCTTCCAGCTCCTCCACTTGCTCTAACGTCCCAAGGTCAATACGAAGGGCAATGTCAGAAGACCATGAGTTCTCTTCATCCTTCACTGGTGCCCCATCCTTATACTGCACTTGAAACTCTTCCTCTTCTTCATCTTCATCTTCATCTTCACTCTTCTTTTCATCATGTGTCTGCTCTGGTTCATTCTCAACTTCATTTCCATTTTCATCAGAGTCCTTAGTTCCAGCTTCAGGCTGGTCATCAGCACTGGGGGACTTTCGCATCTCTGTCTTTGGAGGTTCTTTCACTTCAAAGTTGGTTTCTCTTGACCCAATCTGAAAGCAGAATTGTTTATTTTAGACCCTGACAAGGGTAAGCCAGTGAGTACCAATCATGGTCAACTACTTCCTTGGTCCAAATATACGGAACTACTGCTTTTAACAAGTAGATCACCTCCAAATGGCAGTGTTCTTGCCAACATAGATTAAATGAGATGAGTTTCAGTTCAATTAACAGTAAGTTTCCTGAAGTCATTGTTTCTTAAGATATACAGGGTGGGACAAAAAACGAAGCTATCACTTTTGGTGAGTTGTCAATCTCTTTGTAGGCTGCCGATTTTAATTAAAATTGGTAGGCTTATAGATTGACACAATTGGAGTTGGTATACCAAATTTCAGCTTTCTGGCTCTAAAATTATAAGAGCTGTAATTATTTTCTGATGACCACCTACAAAATGTGCTGTCAAAAATATCAATATGAACTTGAGGATGGGATGAAAGGGATGTCCAAATTCATGAACTTCCATCCCTGCATGATGCTACAAAGGAAGATAGGGAGGCATGTCCTCAAAGGTTTATTGACCAAGCTTTTCATTTGTGGTGTTGCAGAGTAGAGACTAGTCTGCAACAGAATGGAGGGCACATTGAGCACCTTTTCAGTTGAAATGAGTATCCCTAAACCAAATTGTGGGCTTTCGTGTTTGACATTTGTGCATTTGTTTTTGTTCTGTTTGTTTGTTTGTTTGTTTTGCCAGTTGTGAAAGATTTTAAGTCGAAAGATAAAATGAACACTTACTTTTTTGGTGGTGAAATATAAATTAAATGCCAATCTCACAGTTTTTAGAAATTTTATTTGAAACTTGGCATACAAACCCTAATTGAGTCACCCTATGTTTCTATATCAAATTTAGTAAAAATTGGCAACCTACAATCAGACTGAAAACTTGCCAAAAATGATAGCTTTTTTTTTTTTTGGCCCACCCTATAACTCAATGCAAAAAAATTCCTCATCCCAGTTGGAATGTTAATCAACTGATGCCATGTTAGCTAGATATTAGAGACCCTCAAGGACAACAAAACTTTATATCACATGTATTCATAATTCTGATGGTCTGAGTCAAGTTTCCATATGAAATGTTTTCATGTTTAATAGCTGTGCAGTTCTAAACTGGAAATTTCACAAAACAGGTTAAGGAAGGACATACCCTATGTAACTCATCAGAGACATTTGTCCCTGTACATTCTGTTTTTCATCCCAACCATCAAGACCTGACTTGTCAGAGTTACCAGTTTCCCTTCTCTCCTTCTACAGCAGATCCACAGCTCCTTTGGAAGACCTTTAGTTTAGCAAGAGCTATCTGCCCCTTTGCTTTCCAATAGCATGTCAAGTCAACATCCAGCACTTTCCAGCAACCAGACAGCCAAGAGGCAATACACTCTAAGAATGCGATATAATGATGTAGACAAGCAGTCCCAAATGTAATCCATGCACCACTGGTGGCTTACAATTACCATAATTTATATGAAAATTCACAGGATGAGGCTGAACACAGCCATTGCCTGGGTTTCCCTAGTTTCTCCCTGCTTTACATAAATCCTTTTTAATTGCATTTTTTCTGGAGTAAATATTCTGAGAGTTTGTTTCTTTGCAAACCCATTGAATATCTTGTGCAGGCCCTGAGGGAACTGGGATGAGGACAAGGAGGTACAGATGAGAATAGCTGTCATTTGGGAGAGGATTGAAGAAACATTTAGAATAGTGGACAGGGTTCAAAACCAGTACTGGAGATTTTCTCCTGCATTGGGTTTTCCAAAATCAGCAGCCTTGTTTAAAATTTGTTAATTTTATAATATGAAGCTAAGTGAAAGCTGTTTTTGTTTCAACTTAGCCTCATGCATAACAACACAGCTGTGTTCTTATGAATAAATTCATCCTGTGTGAATATATTTGATATTCCCAGTCAATGTAGGGGGGGGGGGGTGAAAGGTGTTGTACGAAAGCTGGGGGGAGTGAGTCAATAGGGAGGGGGAAGAAGTTAACATCCAAATGGGACCAGTTCTGACATCTATCAATGTTGATGTTTCATGATCTACAGTGGTGGAAACTATGGAATTGAAGAATGATGCTACTAGTATAGCACACCATGAGACCTGCTCTGTGAATGTGCATGCTTTATAGAAATGCATCCACTCTCAGCACTTAAATTCTCCCACTTTGGCCAACTGAGGAGCAAGTATCAAAATCAGGCACAATCTATTCAGTGAAGACATCTTCAAAAACTGAATCTCATCTCATCAATTCCAACGTTTTATGAATACAGCTTAATGACAAAAAGACTGGAGAATTACTGTGGAGAACAGCCCACTTCTATTCTCAGGAATTGGCCATCTATTTTCAGCAGATACTCATTGATAAGCAATTATACACTTATGGTGCACTATGATAAAGCTACTCAAGAATTGAGAAATTCCATACATAAAAAAAGGTTTTCAAAGATGTTAGGTACACAAGGAAAAATTTGAAGGCATCAGTAGACAAGGATTTAAGGTACAATGTTTCATCAAATATTACTGTGATAACAGGGAGGATTCTTGCTCTGCTAAAAATGTTCAAAATTGCACATTCACCCTGTGCCAGATACCCCATGATATGAACAAAGTTTGTTGCAGCAAGATATCATTTGACAAGCTAATGCTGATGGTTAGTTAAGCTACACTCTATCAAAGCATAAACCACTAGAAGTTTTATCACCAATTACATATTCATGCTTCCAACATTCCAGAGGTTCTATTTTACAGCAGTGAAAGCACAAGCAAACAGGGGAAAGGCATAAAAAATAAGGCAAGCTCTGGGTTAACAGAGTTGCAGGGGCATGAAAGCATTGCAATCCGTAATGGTAAAGGATTAATGGAGGAATCTCGGAGAGAAAATACTCACATGTAGAGTATTCAGTTCTGAGCGCTTCAAAAAATGAAAAAAACTTTTGAATTAGTTCTATTGAAATTAAACTGAAAAATGCACAAAATATTAGGCCTATGGCTCAAATTAGCTTGAAGAAAGTTCTAATCTTTCACAGAGTGTAGGTATAGAAGAATATGAATGTTCCCCATTATTTCCACTTCGAGTGGTGACTTCCCAATCAACCAACTACTACAAGAGAGTGAGTGGGAAAAAGTATAACCAAGAGTTTACTAACCCCATTGGGATTGAAGACACCATTACCAAAAATGAAAAGGTTCCACAAACCAAAGAGTGCATGATAAATGGATGTGATAGAGATGCTGAAAGCTAACCTTTGTGCAAGCCCGCTTCACCAGGTCCTCAAATTTGATGATGAAGCGCTTGAGCTCCTTTTCACGGATGCCACGGATGTGCAATGCTTGCCGCAGCTTCTGCACATCCTCTGGATTGTGGATACGCCACCACCCTCGTTTTGCATCTACAATGGGACACAGTTGCCAGGCACACAATGAAGTCTGTCATGACCACTAGGAATATTAATGCACTTTGATCCTGAAAGAATTGTCATCTGATTCTACCAAGAGAATTCAAGTGGCTTAGGTTCATGCCTAGGAAATGTCTATATTGAATGAAGGATGTTTGGGTCTTGGATCTGCCAAGGGTCTATGTTTCAACTTCAAGGTAGGTCAAAATAGAACTATAGAGAGTGTCAGTATTAAACATTCTGTTGTGCATCAATTCCTCAAAGAATGGGATTAAGAAAATACTGTTCACAAGAATAGACAGACTATCTCTAGACAGCTTGACTTCCTCTTACACATTGGGGGGGGGGGGGGGGGGGTGAAAAAAAGGCTGCTTCAGTGAACATCCATGAAGGAGAAAATAAGTTATCACAGTTAGCATCAACAACCAGTTCTCAATATCTCTATTTGCCATGCACACAGGCTACCTTCTCCAGCAAAATGTATTTCATTAAGTAGAAAGGCATTTTGAGAACTGCCTTATCATTGATGATATCAAGTCAAGCAAACTTGATGAGATGATCATTAGGCAGATTTTCACATTTTTTGCCATAAAAAACCATGCAAGCCATACACAGCTCAATATTGGCATTACAGCATGAAAAAAAAAAAACAAAACAAGAACTGCTTTTGCATGACAATTTCAGCCAAAGGTATTGTGCTCATCCAAGCATACTGGTATCCAGCTGCCAACTAGGGATACCTGAAAAAATCAACTAGACTTTGGCTATGTAAACCTCAGCATTCACATAAATTTCCTCTCCTGAAGTGAACAAAGGACAGCCACAAGGGAAGGATAGCTAGCATGCCTGTTGGACTGAATGCAGAAATGTTCTAGGACTCACAGGGAGGGATGGGTTGTGCTTGAACTTTCTCCTTGGCTGCTAGTAAAGACAAATTCTTATCACCAAGAAGCATTGCAAGTTTTGAGATGTCAGATGCAGGAAGAAGCTGGGCATTGGCTCGCACTTCTTGCTCCAGCCGTTCCTGCATTTCACGGTCCCAGGCTGTTGCACCCAATCCGTAAGAAGCATACATCACCTCTAGGGGATGAAAACCACCTCCTAGGTATTTCAAGTACTGGGAGAAGTCCTTGTCACACATTCCACCATTGAAAAGGGAATGGGGATTCACAAGAGAACGGGTATGGGCAAAGAGATCAGAGTCTCGACTGGACCCACTAGGAGCAATCAACAGTGCGCCACCCGGTAAGACAGCTGCCGAAGGGCCTGATTTTACTTTCACATCAGGCTTTTTTAATGATGGTCCTTCACAATCTTCTGTCTTTGGCAAATGTATTTCTTCTTTCTTAGCTGATGAAGTCAGTCCAGATTCTTGAATTTTGTCATCTGCTTCCATCTTTGACTCAGTGTCACCTGCTGCCACTTTCGACTCAGCATCATCACATGATTCTATCTTCACATCTTCCCGTTTCACTGGGGAGGGGAGTTCCATCTTTGGATGTGGGACTTTGGCATCTGATGCTATGCAATCATCACCCATTGCCACTTTGTCCGCACAACCTACACTATCACACAAATTCACAGATGCATCAGGTACACCGTTGGTCAGCTGCGTTCGGAGTCTCGACTCCCCTGCTTCCTTCTCCTCTTCCTTTGAGTCTTTCTTCTCCTCTATCTTCACTTTCACTTCTCCCTCCTTCTCCACAATTTCATCTTCCTTATTTGATGATTCTTCCTTATTCTGTTCCGATCCTCCCTTATCTTCTTTCTCCTTCTCAGGATCAGCCTCTTCCTCATCAGGAAAAAGGCTCCCTGACTCCATGGCCTCTACATAGAGACCCCCAGCGAATGGAAGAACCCAGTACCTCCTCTTATACCTGAGAGAAAGAAGAATCAGCAGGAAAATGGTGTGAATATGCTTTCAGATTACTGATGAGATTCATACATGTAAGCCATGGAGTGAAGCTCACCTATCTTCACCCAAGCTGACTGCCCTGAGTGTAAGACATGCATCCCAGATTCTCTTCTTAGCCTCCATGCACTGCTCATCCAACTGCTCCAGCTTCTTATCTATGTCCTCCTTGCTCATATTCTCAGCCTCCTAAAGCCAATATAACACAACCTGTGACCTTAGGCAAACAAGTCAGTCAAAGCAGTTTCAATTGAGAAAGACCTCAGGAGTAGCAGTGAAGGAGACATCATCCTCGTTCTGGTCATCGCTCTCGGCCCCACTCTCCTCATCCTCCATCTCACCATTTCCATCTTTGCTCTTCAACTTTTCCTCTTCTCTCCGATCTGACATGTTGGACATAGAGTCTTCTGGAACAGGTGTGGGTTGCTCACTGCCTCGCCTAGACTTTGCACCCTGGGCTGCTTTCAACCTGGAAATCCATCACTCATCATGAGATCTGTTCTACTTAGAAAGAACATAAGGGGAAAAACAAACATACTTGCGGATATCAGCCTCAAGGGCCCATTTGCTCCTCTTTTCAGCAAGGACTTTATCTAAGCTTGCATCAACTTGCTTAACAACTGCCTTGTTCTGCAATAATTCATTGCATATGAAGCCAAGGATGGCAGATTTTTGCATGGGGTTCAGGGATAGGAATGGCTTGTCAGATACCCACTTTGACATCTTGTATGTCTCATTGTTTTCCAGGCGTTCCTAGGATAACAGCAAAGGACATTGAGATTTGGAAAACAAACTGCAATTCACTGATAAGATAAAAGCATTTTACCTTATACTCATCAGTTTTCTCAACCAGAACATCCTTCTTGTCGGGTGGGATCCCCATCAACATCTTCACCTCCCCAGTTGCATTGGCATACAAGTAGATCCGAAGAATCTCTGACAGGTTGGCAGGGGTGATGTCAGCCTGACGCAGGGTTTGACCTATTTGAACAAAAGCCAGGTAATCAAAGAATTCCCTTTTTCATAATGAACTCAAACTGAGTTAAGTGCATTGGTACCAAGAATGGTGGTATGTCGATGTGGATGGGGAATACCAGGATCTTCAATTGCACAGACAAGAAGATGGGTCATGACAGACAGCATCTCATCCTCAGCTGCATCATCATTCAACAATGCTTTTTGGAGACTGTTCAGCGTTGGAAGACTTCCCATATCTAAGGGAAATATAAGATAGACTTGACTGTCCTTCTCAAGGCTCCAAATGAGCTCAAAGAGAGGATGGAAGGGAAAAAAGCAAAGCAAAAGGGGAAAACTAAACTGCCATCTTTTTGGCATTTGCAGGCTACCTTCAACACAAGGTTCCAGTCTTAGAACTTCCATTCGTACTCAAGCATTACATGCTTCCACCAAGAACTCCAAGCAAAAAAAACTGAGTTTCATGTTCATCAATCAAATACTTCTGCAGAACTAAAGGCATTTAATGGATTTGTATGAAACTTGGCTTACTGAGAGATCATTGCATACAGCTTTGACAATAAGAAATACTTTGAGAAAAGTGCACAAAAGAATATAGCCAACACCAAACAGTGTATTCACCCATGGCTAGATTCATAAAGTATTCCTTAAGTCAACAGGAAGAACACTTACCAAAGCCAAGAGTTTCTCCAAAGTTGTGCAAGAATTCAAAGACCATCAGAATTTCCCCAAATGCCTGACCACTCAGCTTCAGACCAGGGATTCTCTCTAGCTCAGGCAGGTCTTTATGATCTGTCAAACAAAACCTTCATTGTCATCCACTTTCAATTCACATTGAGCCATGTCAGATGTCAATGAAACCAACCAGAGAGCTCCATGTCTTCTGTGGTCCGATGGAGATCCTTGAGGTTCTCAATCTCTAGTTTGTTCTTCTGCATGCGCCGAGAGCGTGTAGCCTCTCGTTCCAGGTCCAACTCCTCTCGCTTTCGCTCTCGCTCCTCCTGCCGACGCTGGGCTTCCAATGCCTTGGCAAGTGCAAGCTGCTGTCGACGACGCTCACGCTCCAGCTCAAGGTTCATCATCATCTCCCTCTGCTTGTTCAACTCTTGCATGTACAGCTTGGCAGCCTGGTTAAAATGAAAATAGAGATTAGGCTCATTCATTAAAGGCTATTTGGAAGAATTGTATTGCAAATGATGATGGGATTCATTACCTGTTCCTGAAGCAAGATGGCCTGCTGCCTCTTCAACTCCTTCTCCTGTAATCAAGGGTGCTTTCATGAGGAAAATGACCAGATTTGAAATAGAGATGCAATTGCCAATCATGCATGCAACCAGGGAAGGAGAGAAACAGAAACAAGAAGGGAAGTGAAAAGAGAGAGACTCACACGTTCACGTTCGGCCTCTCGCATTCGTTCAAGAGCCTCCTGTCTGCGCTGTCGTTCCTTGAAAGCAGCCAGACCAAAACGTTAGGAGGCAGAGGGATAGACACTACTACTAGTTCACCATGCACAGACATAAAAGTATTTGACTAAATTAGTCTACACCAAAGAGCATTCCTACACAGTGCCCAGCAGAAGGAAAAAGAAAGAATGTAAACGCGAAGATAAAGGAAACCTGGTCACAATGCATGCACAACTCAGTTTTCGTGGGTACCAGTAATGGTGTAAATTTATCAGTAAGAAATTTTCCTGGTTAAAACAGAGTGCTCTTCATTTTTTTTAAATACAGATTATCATAAATGTTCCCTTATTTATTAATCCAAAATTAACATCATACAATTCAACATCAGATGAGTTGGACACTTACATCTCTTTTAAGCCAAACTAGTATTAAGGACAGATGTAAACACAGACAAGACAAACAAGTTATCTTGAATCTACTGGTATTGTTGATGAAGACATACTTTGTGCCCTATATGTGAAATAGTTGTATCAGGACTTCAACAGGTGAAAAATGCTTCATTCAATTAAATTGTCTTTGATCAAATTTTTTGGTAAAAGTAAAAATAAATTAGAGACCATTATCATACATTGGTTGTGATCTGGTCAGTTATCTTTAAAAGAGTTAAATATAAAAAGCCAGTTTTTACCAGAACTTTTGCAAGGGTCTCATTCTTTCATCATGAGAAAATCTGATCACTCTTACATAGGGTGTCATACAATAGTTGCCATTCCCTCAACAGCAGGAAATACAGCAGTGTTTTTACTGGCATTGGAGACACATGTAATCATACTCATAGCAATCATTTTGGTTGCAGGAAATCAAAGATGATTGGAGTCCCTCTAAATGAAACAGAGCTTGTAGCAAGGGCATGAATCATTAGACAAAAAAGTGGATAGCACTCTTGCTGAGAACAGTTATGAATCACCCAGCTGAGGACAACTGGGTGATTCACATCTGGATTAAAAGTATTGAAATTGAGTACAGAAAGTTTCACGGGGGAGCTCCATTCAAATTGTCCCAGGGAGGTCACCCATGGGGTATCAACTTCATATTTACAATGGTGTTTACTCAAGGAACTCAATATAATTTTTAAAAATCCAGCAGTCTCAGATCATCTATGCAGGGAAATATTGCATTAAGTAAAATGAAATGTGTGTGGAGTGTCAAAAATACTGCCATGGTTTCTGCTCAAGAAGGGGTTAGCAAATGTTGTGCCTGACACCTGTTACAAGGATTTATGTATTTTAGGAGCCAATTCAACCTTTTGCAATTGTCGATTACGTTCCTCTTGCATACGTCGGAGGGCTTCCTGACGTTCATGTCGTTCCTTTTCGCGCTGAGCTCGAGCCAGTTCCATCTGGTGACGTCTGGCCTCCCGTTCAGCAGCCCTTGCAACCTCTCGCTCCATTTTACGAGAAGCTTTCCACTCGGCCAGGCGACGAGTCACCTCACCTTCATCCAAACGGTTCTCAGCTTTGAGTTCTTCAATGATGCGTGTTTGCTGTTCTCTCTCCTCTCTGCATTTCAAACAATTCAAAGTCATTCTTGAGCATTAAATTCTCCTTCAGAAGTAAGAATGCTTATGAAAAATATTCTCACCGTCGCTTCTCTCGCATCTTATCTGCTCGGGACATCCCACCATGGCTGGCACGCAGTTCCTCCACCTGAAGCCAGACCTCCTCTTCAGATATGTGCAGTGTCTTCCCATCTGGAGTTGGGGAGATGTAATCCCCAACAATGCACTTGGTACTGAAGCTGAAGTTGTCTCTAGAGATGTTTGTGATGTTCCGTCTCTCCAAATACTACAAAAACAAAGTACTTCCTTCATAATTGATTCCTTGCTTCTTAAGTGCAAAAAATATAGAATATGATAATTTCTTCTGCTTTTTTGTCTCAAGTCTCAATCTTCAATGCTCCATTAATCAGATAATACATATGTCAGAATAAGAACATTAAGTATCATTGAGATAATGCTTATTAAGATTCAAGAGAACTATGCCATCTAGCTGAATACTGCAGAACTGGAATTCATTGTAAAGCTGTCATAGCAACATGTGCACATGGACTTCCAAGTTTTTCCCAGAAATCTGATGCTTAAATGTCTCAATAAAATCTCAATAAAAGCTCAATAAAAACAGATGTTTTGTTATCTGCAAGAGAAAACTCACTCGAACAACTTCAGGATACTGTTTGAGTTTCTTGCCACATGGAGCATAATACACCACTTCTCCCTTCACACCAGAAGCAGCAATGTCTCGAATGAGTGTCTCTCGCTTCCAACCGAGCTTCAAGGGGATACGCAGGTCCCGCTCATCCACGATTATACGGCGACGTCTCCGAGGAAATGCTGGAGCAATGGAACCAAATTCCCAAGTGTCTAAGAGAATGGAAAACGAGTTTAAGAAAAAGCAAAATAAAGAAAAGAATCTCACAGTTGCTTTGCCCTGAGTATGTGGATGAAGGGATGCAGTCTGAAGAGACAGACATGCGACTCGAGTCCTCTCCATCAGAGTATGACTCATCCACATCACTACTTGCCTCTGCATGAGTCTCACTCTCATCTCCACCAAGTGATTCCCTCTCACTTGTGCAGTCATCTGTACGAGCTCGCTTGGAGTCCACATCAAATGCATCCTCGTGAGTGCGCTTGGATCTTGAGGTCTCCAGTTCAGTAGAGCCTGGACTTGAAGACCTGCTGCTGCTTTTGAGAACTGAGAGACCAGGACTGGGCTTAATTCCAAGGGCACGGCTCTGAGCCAGGAGAGATGCCACAGTGTTCTTCTTTGGTCGAGATGATCCACCACGTCCTAGACTCCTGCTTCGACCGCTCGACTATAAATGCACAGAACAGACCATATACAGCATTTCTGCAATGTCTGAATCAAACTCTACATTTACCAAGGCGTAACTCAAATCAATATTTTATCAGTAGCCCAAATCAGTGCATTCAGGTCTATTCCTGGATGTATATTATTGAAGTTAAATTGTATCCAATTAATATAGGTCTACTGTAACACCATCTAAAACTTTTTGGTACAAAATTTGGTTTAAAAAAAATATGAGGGGCTCACACCCAAAAGTGTACTGTCATCTATAAGACAAGATTGTAACCTGAATATCCCTTTTTGATGGTGATGATGTGATGGTGTCCAAACCAAATCAATGCCTATTAGGAAAGGAAACAAGATGTAGGTCTCTCCCATCATATTTTCCAATAACTCAAGTATGACTTTTATCTCAACTTGAAAGGCTCAAAGGACACAATAATGTTAATCCTTATTTTAATTAAAATTGAGTTATTTACTAGTACTATTACATCTGTTATTGTTCATATGCAACTGAAAAATTGTCCATCCATGCAAGAGTGACTGACTTTGGCTTTGACTGACTCAATCCCTAATCCCTTAAGTTCCTGTTGATTTCCTTTTCTCACACTTTCAGAGCCATTTTCTCCCAAGTAGTAGTAGTGGGTGGCTGAGCAATAAAGGACTCCAAGCCTTTAAATACCCAAAGATGGATAAAGAAACAGGCATATTTAGCACTGTGATTCAAGTTATGCTACCCAGTCATTTACAAAATGTGTCACTTACCACATGAATGACAGAATCAATAAGATCAAGACTGACAAAAATATAGATGCAACTACTATGATCTAACTTACTGATTCTGAATCCATGAGGTGCTTCTCAAGAGTCCTCTGTAAGCTCTGCAGCTGTGGATTTGCCTGATATTCTGAGGAAAAATCCCAGGCTGAGGGAGAGGAAGTTGCTGAGGCAGAAGATGCCATGACCTCCAGCACTGACACTTCTATAGGTGGCAGTCGGTCACGTGAGGCCTGGTGAGCTGGTCTTGGACAATCCACACCTGATAAAACACAGAGGCAATCAACACTGTCAGCTGTTACCAATGCTGATTTATTGGCTGCCATCATGCCAAACAGGAGAAGGTAGTACAGGCAAGCCAAATAACTAAATCAGGGAAACAGAGACAATGACTGACCAATGGAGGGAGAAGAGGAGGAGGAGGTTGGCAGATGAAGACTAGTCTTCTTAAGGTTAGAAGCAGATGATGCCTCATCAGATGAGGTGGATTTAAGTGAGAGGTTCAAAGGAGCAGCAAGGTTGTCTGTTTCCTCAGGCTTTTCCTCAGAATCATCTGCTTTCTTTTTGGAACTGAGATCCTGAACACCATTGGATAATCCCATGGCCCCTCCCGCAGACCGTGGAGGGATCACACTGATGGTCAGTCCAGGGATGTTCTTTCCAAGCAGCACCTCTGAGTAATCCTAAAAGTAACCCCACAAAGGTAAAGGAGTAAAGTCAGATTAAGAAAAATGTTTTTTTAAATATCATCAATTGCAAAAACCTTTTTCTCAGAAGTCTGGGGAGAAGAATCTGGAGGAACACTGTTCTCATAGGGGCTGCCTTTCCTTCTACTTCTTTTCGAGTGAGTGGGACTGGGGGAGGTGCCAGACATACTTGACATCTGCCTCAATGCTTCAAGTTCACTCTTTCCTCCCAACATTGAATTTGTGCTGGAAATGCATCATAATCCAACCCATCAGAACTTGCTGCTTCCGATGGTAAAAATGTCTCATGGTGAAATAATCTACCTGAACACATTAGAAGGAAGTGGTGAGGACTTGGATGAAGAAGTGGAAGTGAGCAGCTTTCCAGATGATGTGGCAGTTGAAGTCACACTTTTATTGCTGGATGATGAAGTCTGTTTTGAATGCTGGGCTATAAAAATATTAGGAAAGCCAATCAAGGCCAAGGGTTCATAACCTGAACAGCCAAGTAACTCCTGAGATTGAATTAACTCCTGGTACCTAGCTGCTGAGCTTGCTGAGCAGCCAGATAATCCAGACTGGCAGCTGCAAGCAAAGGATCAGGTGCAAGATGATGCCCAAACACAGCATGAGAAGATCCACTCAGTCGGGCCAAGTAGTCCTGAGCTGCCAGCTGTGATGCCATTGACCACCATGCTGCATCTGAACAATCAAAGGAAACATTCTGTATCACCTATTTACTATTTACTATTTACACTGTAAAAAAAAAGGAACTGGTAGGAAACTTACTGGCTTGCTGTTGCTGTTGCTGTTGCTGCTGCTGCTGCTGCTGTTGCTGCTGATGCGTGCTAATGGAAGATGCGGTGGTGGAGGGAGGTGGGAAAAACCCAAATGGCATGGCAAATGACCCCAAGCCTGGAACACTTGTACTTGATCCTCCACTCAACAGTGCTTGTGCTGCTTACAATGGAGCAAAACCATGCATAAATATCATGAACAGGTCACTAAATTAGTATTAAAAGAAAAAGAAATACTTTGCACCAAATTTTTTTCTCTTTATCACATTCTGCAATATTCAATTTGATTGTAACTGAAACCATTACTTTTCACAGTAGGCAAGTAGTTATCAGGGACATTTGTAAGAATGAGTCAAGAGTGAACCCACAGGGAATTATATTAAATACCACCATAAAGAATCCACAGTAAGTTCCATGTGTTAAAGAACCCCAGAAATGCAGACAGACATCACAGAAATAGCATAAAGAAGCCTACTACAAGACTGCAATGCTACACAGCAACAAACCAAAGCCAATATCCTATTCATAGGGTAGTATACCAGCTAGGCAGAAAGTCTATCTCTTGGGAAAATGCAGTGACTTCAAAATGGGGTAAAGTAGAATTTATCTCTTCAGCCCCAGAATGTAATGTTTCATGTAGGTGATGCAACCTTGCTGGTAAAAGGGCTTAATATCACCAGTTTTCAGTCTTTCAGTGGAGAACACAGCTGTCTGGAGAGGAAAAGAATGTTCATCCTTGATAGCTGGAGTGATAGCTGGGAATGTCTGGAATTTTTTTTGTAAAATTTTCTGGTTCAGCAACCCTGCTTGAATCAGCCACACGTTCTTCCTCGGTAGATGTTGATATGCTTGGATGCTTCCACAATTCAGTCACTCATCTCAAGTCATTCTTATGTGGTACTCCAACAACATAGAAATGTCAAACTCTGTTTAAAATTTGAGGTCAATAGGTCAGACTGAACATGAATAAATGATTCTTGCATATACTGTATTGGACATTTGGTAACAATCATTTCTCAAAGGACAGAAATATGGGATCGCAGAATATTCTGCCCTATACTTTTGGGAGCTTACTGCAAGCACCACTTTTAAAAATCTCCATCCTCTGAGTTGACACACCAAGACATCTTGAGGACTGCAGATACTGTTTCATCAAGCAGAATTCTGTGCTTTTCTGAGGACTGTCATTTAATTGCAATGATGTGCCTTCAGATGGAGATCCAGCCCAAACATCCTTTTCTACTGATGCAAAATCACATGTCACTAGATTCACCCATGAGACAGACTTCATAAGGAAATAAGAGTTTCAAAAAGCAGGACCATCTACAAGAACCCCAAGTCATTAGTACATAATTCCCATTCAGAGGTATCACTTACTCATTGGATCTGTGTGCACCCATGGAGCTGGGGAAAAGCAACATTTTTCATCATTAATAATGGTCACACGTCAAAGTCATTATATCAGCTACAAGAACTCTTAGACCTCATTAATTGCTGAGTTAACTAAATCTCTGGCCTTGCCTTCTCGTCATAAGAGCATCCACAAAATAAAAGGCCGAAAGTACCGGTAATCTGGATTTAAAGGCACAGGATTGGTGAGGTTCAAAGGCTATAGCATTTTTGGCTTCATGATGTAGTACGAGCTCAACTCTACCAGTCATCAATCACTGGGTATGGTTTCCAGATGAAGCCGAGGGGTGCACCACACGCAGCAGAAAGATGAAAAGATAATTATGGAGACGATGGGAAAGGGCCCCTAATAGCACAGGCATACTTTGTCCCGTCTCGCAACTTGACAGAAAGCAACAATAATTGTACTTTGCGCTACAGAATGCATGGTCAGCAGAAATGTACGTTGTTTCAGCGGTGAACGGCATCGCATTGTTCCCACTTCCCAAGTGTATGAGTAGGGGCCGTCAGACGCCAGGCAATTTAATCTCAGAAGTCATGGGAAAAGTCAAAATTGTTTCGAACAATGCTCCGCTCCGCTCCACACCACTAAAATATTGAAACACTCCAGCCGAAGCTCGCACAGGAACAGTGCATAGCAAATTAGCCAACACCACCGCATGGGAGACTAGGTTCCGAAAGCACAAGCCTCATTTAGGGGAGATAAAGGGACCTTCAAACTAAAGAATTATTTTCCCCCAAAAGGAGTTCATGTATTCCTAAAGGACCGTTAATTAAAGGACGTTTCAGCATTCGGTCCTCAATATTCTGAAAGAATTATCATATCCACGAAGCAGTCATCCTTATTGGATAGAGACCATCCCAATTTTAGAATGCACACTGCAACGAATCATCTCGTACTCACAATCCTAACGCTGATAGTCCAGAATGAGATTTATGTGGGTTGCCGGGGTCCCTTAATTTTTACCACTAAACTGGGGGATGTGCTTGATTTCGTGGCGGAAACCATCCGTATATAATTAAATCTGAAGTCGGACATCTATATTGACTTCTGATGAGATTGTTTCTGGCAGCGTGCGATAAGGAGAGCAACATTTTTTAAACAGGTGTACAAAATAAATTATTCAACTACATTCCATATTACCCAGCTCGCAATAGACCGCATGAGAAACTTCGCTAGCTGACTGTAGGCATACTCATGATATTACTGTATATGCTAATTAAACACAGCAATCCTCGTCGATTGGCACGTGTAAAGACTTGGTTTTCATAACGTCCGAAAGGCCGATATTCGTCACGACATGACAAGCACGAACTTGCAAACAATGCTAAACGAATCCCAACGAAAACTCTCCGACGATTAATGGGGGATCTGCCAACCGTTACTTTACTACATACGGCCTCTCCCTCTTTTATGCTTCCTGCACACCGAAGCAGCCCATCGAGTCGACGGAGCATAGAAGAAAAAAGACGGACACGATGGAGAAGGGGGAAACCGCGAAGACATGACTCACCGAAAAAAGCGTGATTGGAGAACATGGAGTTAGTGGCATTCTGGAGGGACGAGAGCGGGCTGGCAGCCGCGGATGCATGACTTCCTTTACTCTGGATGGTACCGGTACCGCCAGTCCCTTGTTTGGCACTGGGGGAGCCTTGTTGCAGCTTCTCCCCCACATCTGCCATCATCTCATTCGGTCCCTGTCGTCAGGAACGTATCACGATCACCCATCCACGCTCGCGAATATCACCGCTTTTCCTAGTCCAACTTTCGCACAGGGAACGCATGCCCGTTAAAAATGCACCGTGCAGAAACACACAAATAGGCCAAGCCATCAATTACGACGGGGAGGGACTTAAATCCCACATTTCGGTTGGAGATCGATCGCAACAGACAAGGGACACGAGAACGCGCGCGTCCATATACGTATGAAAAGGGGCGCCTCCTCGTGATCGCATTATGAATGTGAAAAGGGGGAGAGAGGGAACGGAATAACCTACAACAAGCACACACGTTTCTTTGTTCGCGTGTCTGAGTGTGTGCGTTAGCCACCCCGCACATGTCATCGAGGAGCACAAGCAAAGTACCACGGCCTGGTCACGGACCCACGCGAGACTTAGCCCTACCCGCACCTGTCTTCTTTCTCTCTCGTTTCATGACCAAAAATGGCTTCCAACAACAAGACGGGGGTTTCGGCCGGGCTGCTGCTTCGCAACTTTCTCTTCCGTCCGCGACACAGGAATCCATCTCGTATTTCGGACACTGTAAGCCAAACCCTGGGCACGGCACACACGCTGCACAACACTCGAGATCCGTGGAGGATCTTCTACGTTGTGAGGGCGAAAGAGAACAGACACGTGAGGTCTAGGCCAGATCGATCGTTTGGGATGACACAAACCTCATGGATAATCGATTCGCGAACCGCCCGAAACCATCAGCGAATGAGGGGAAGAAACACGGCAGGGCGAAACAAATGATAGCATCTGGATCTGCGTGAGGAACGACGCCAGACTGTGGACCGAGTGCAAAACGAAAACTACCAGCCACGCGAGAAAGGAAAGCGGCGGAGGGGGATAAAGGAGGAATGAATGATCTACACTCCATTCGAGCGTTACTCGGACCGGTACCGAGAATGCATGTCGTCTTGCATCGTATGACTCAGCCCCTCCTCTTCTTTCCCAATCCTACGCGCACGCACACAGTTCCATTATACACGAAAGCGCTGAGACTTCCTTCCCTCGTCTACGCAATTATTATTCAACAATTTACACGACAGCAGCAGAAGCAGCTGCCCTGACAACTCAGGCCAAATCATAACCCTCGAAATTCCGGATTCCCGGGAAAGTGAGCAAGCTTCCATTCGACGAGGTTCTATGGCTCCCTCTCACGTATTTGCACCATCGAACGAGCGGGAGAGTGGACTCATGGATCGATCAAACAAGTGTCAAAGTCGTGTGTCAGGTTATCAGTAAAAAGCGAAGAGTGTGGGAGCAGATGATGAGGAGCGAGATATACCCTCGCTCGCCCCGATCGTGATCCAAGTCATGCGTGCTAGGAAGCAAGAAGAGAAGCAAGCAGACAAAGCCGATCCACATTGCAGACCGGACAGGGGAAAAGGAAAGAAAAAAAAGGGGAAGGAAGAGAGCGAGAGAGAGAGAGAGGAGAGAAAAAAATGCCGGGGACTGATGGTTTTCTCCCTTTGCCTCCGAGCTGCCCTCGGGGCACCGAGAAATATCACAAGAGCCAGATTCCTTTTTTCTCTAATGCAAGGCCAGAGACAGGAGGAGAACCATCACACCTGCGCCTTTCACATCGCTCGAGACAGGCCATTTCCCTTCCTCGTGAGGGGAAATCTAAGCGACTCGCTCTAAAGCAAAACCACAGTGCAAAATGAAGGAGAAATGGTTTGTATTTCTTCGCGAGACATAATTCCCGAAATAAAATAAGACGGGCTTGATATACATGCATTAACATAAATGATGAATTGCATTAACTGGAATCTTCTAGAGATAGTGGAACCACGCGTGTCATCCATTACGAGCCGATTACTTGGCCTTCGGAGGCTGTAGAATGGCATTAATAAGGACATCTTCCCAAGAGGGGATAGATCACGGAAGGATCCTTCTTGGCTGGAGGAGCCAAAGCGATTCCTTCCTTCCAGAGTGGAGAGTGCAGTGCACATAGGTATTGATTTCCTTATATACCAGTTGGCGGAGAAGGAGAAGAAGGATGCCAGGGAGGGGACGGACTCCTCTTTTCCTTCTCCTGTCCCGGATATAGCTGGAGACCCAGCCTCTCCGTGTATTCCTCATTCCGCGAACACCGCATCTCCCCTCTTCACTCTTCGCTTCGTTGACGGCTCAATATCACTTCGGGGCCTTTTCCCCCCCGGCTTCGTTTCGTGCGGTTTGTCGTCCTTTTACTGGAGGATTCAGTGTCAGCAATTTTACACCGACCAAAACTGTTGACTTCAGAACCATTATCGCTGGGAACATCAACCCAGGTCATTGATTGGAATCGAAAACATGAAGATCTGATCCAGTTCGATTGCCCCTTGTTAAGAGAATCAAAGCGCTGGAAGCCTCAAATACTCAAATATTTACTGATGGTTTGTTTGTAACAAATAGTCGAATGGACGATGATGGCTTCCGAAGGCATCGAAAAATAGTCCTTTCAAGCTATTTTAGAAGACGGTAATTTTTTCGGAATTTTGAACAGGTATCTTCGTAAGATCCTTTCTTATTTGCGAGCAACCGATTTAAAGAACGACTAAACAATTGTCTATATTTGATATAGTTAGTCTCGAATTAGCCCATGTCTTAAAATAAAATATTATAACTCGCCGATGTCATGAATAATTCAAGAATGCTTGTCATTGCCAGTACGCACACACAAGTCAACATTTACAGGTAAAAGGGGCAAGATCGCCACATTGCAACAACCGCGTCCTATCTCCTTCCTCGTCGACAAGGAATTACTGGCGTTCCCGGAGGGTTTTACTTTCATGCACGAGGTATTTGAATGAGGGGTGAGGCAAGGCCAGAAATGCGAAGGGAGTGGACACACGCAGGACGAGTGAGCGAGAGACACAGGAGGGAAGGGCAAACGGAGGAGGAGGAATCGGCGGAGCATTTCATAGCCTCTACGTCGGCCTTTTGGAAATTATCCCAAGCAAGGGAAGGGAAGGAAGGGAGAAGCAGAAGCACAGTCCCAGTGCCATGCAGGCACACGCACTCGGACTGTATATAGAGAGAGAGTCGATAGATGACTCCTCCTGTGACTGTGAGAGAGAGGAAGATTCCAATAACGGACGCAGCTCTTCCCCGCTTTTTTCCCCTCTTTCTCTATCCGTTCCCTTCTTTGGTTGGACCAGAGCCATGACGATCGACCGGACGAGATCCCTCACTCCGTCTGTGTCGTGAGGATTCTATCGGAAAAGTACCGGGGATTCACAGCCTCCACCGTGCCAAAACGAGCCGACGAGCGGATAAGATAAATGAGATACACTGGAAGAGGAAAAGAAATCACGGCTACAGAGACATCTCCTCGTTAAGGCGACGCCGATCACGAACGCCTTTCACTTCCTTTACAAGAGGACGCAAACCTGGCATGAATTTTCGGAGCGAGGCGCGAACGAGATTAAGTAAGAGACTATCACAGGCAAGAAAAAGTGGGTCAGACTCCAGTGGACACGCCACCCCACCGACCACCACACACACGCCTTATTATCCCTCCTCACGCCATATACGCGACTAAAGCTACATCGCATTACACCATCGAGCGACCGTGGAAGCTCGCCCGAGGAAGGGAGGGGGAAACCGTCTTTCTTTGTCAGTGCCTGAACATCCCTGCCTGGTCATCGGAGAGAGCGTAAACAGGGCTGCGACAGAATCGCGGAACAAAGAACGCTTTCCCTCTGATTCACCTGGGATATTACTCATCGGATTCCACAGACCCAACGGGGGAGTCCGAATTTAAGTAAGGCGAGCGGGCGAGACATAGAGAACCTCATAAATTTCGAGACAGACTACGATGACGTCACTTTGACGTTGATGACGTCACAGGCGGGGCGATAAAAGCCACGTGGTTCCCACGTGGTGTGAGGAATGAAAAAAAAGTTGAGCAAACACCCTCCGAAATAAAAAGAAGTCGTCGAGCTAACAGAAGAGAAACAAATGTTCGATTGTGCGGTCGACCGTACACAACGTCTGCCTTCATTTCGCGAATCGCCTATTTAGGGCAGGAATCCGACTTTCAAGTCCTGGAAATGACTCATGGACTCGACAGCTGATCGGGAGTTCCTTCTTGGACCAAGGAGACACGGGATTGTGGGTCAGTGACACTTGGACGAGGCTGCCCCGACCTCGTCTTGTGGAAGACGCAAATCGGGGGAAAACTCAAGCACAGTACACTAGAAGGGAATCGCACACTCTGATCCACACCCGAGCTGGTTGTCTCCTGGCTAGCCTCTCTCTCTTCCTCTCACGAGGCTGCACGGCTTCCTTCCACTCCGTGCACACACGTACGAGAGAGGGGGAGAGAGAAAGAGAGGCAAGATGTCCGACCGACTGGCTCGCACTCAACTGTCAGGGCGGCGCAAATGGTGAAAAGAAGAAAGAGAACGAACGCTCTCAGTCGATAACATTATGCCCTCTCTCTCTCTCTCTCTCTCTCCCCTCTTCACTCAACCGTTGGATCATCCAGCATACGCATTGGGGGCAGCCTTGCACAATGCAATCCATACCGTATCCACGATTACGGTCACTTGGAATCACCTACCCCGATCGCAGTACTATCACGAATGGGTCAGGTGCGAAGACGATGGTCTCACCTGTGTACTGGATGGGAGCAGCGGTTGAGGCTTCGGTCGATCCAAGAGTCACTGGCTTCCGCTTCTCATCTCGCCCGATGACGGGGAGCCTCTCGAGTCTTTCCCGTCTCACCGGGTCGTCTCCCTGCGTGACGTCACTATGCGACGAACATCCACCTCGCTCGCTCCACTCTCAGAGTTAGACGCTGGAGTTCATCTCCATTGATTGCTCGTCTCTCCGCTCGGGCTGATGTGTTTCCTTGAAATGCCTCCTCCGTCTTCCTCTTGCTCCCGTTTCTCCGTTCGATTGTCCTGTCCTCTCTCGCTTTCGCTGCTGCGCTTCAGGTGTTTTCCCATAGTGCCTCCTCCTCCTGTCCCGCTCGAGCTCCGTCGCACTAAGTGGCAACGTCGTCGATCCATTTCTAGCGGAAGCTACCCCTCTTTCGTATCGGATCGTTACGTTAACTCTTCACGTTTGCTACTTTGAACTCGGTCGTGCCTACGGTGGCGGCCTCGGTCTTAATAGGTCCATTGCCCTCGCATCGTCGAACGAACCGGACATTCAATATTTACGCATTTCGTAACGACAGCTCGATAGGAGATTGCCCATTACGACATCTCCGGCTGCACGCTCTCCATAATTGGCAGGGCCCAAATGAAAACCGTACGACTTTCCAATTAATGAGATATACGATTAATATGATGCAGCCGAAGGAGAACCGCTATGGAGCATGACTTGAGGGTGGCTGCTGATAGGAACGAAAGCTGCATGGGGTGATGATTCTCAAATGTCCTGTAACGAATGCATACGCTTTTCCTAAGGGAGGTTTATTAATAGATGAGACGCATTAAATGATAAAATTCCGTAACTGAAGCTGAGGGATGCGCAAACGCATGGATGAGGGAATTCTTGGAAAACGTGAGTCCTTGAGTCTCTCCTCAGTGAGACGGGTCACCGCGATGACGAGAGGGAGCGCTCACGCTGGGAGATGGCTAAGAGTCCCCTGGCGGGCCTGGCCGTCTCCGGGGCAGTTCTATTGAGTCAACATGGCGTCTTACTCTATCCGCGTGTCAGTCACCTCATTAGTCGCGAACCAACCAACTGCAACCTTAAAGACTGGGCAGTAGTGGCAGAATCGAAACTCAGGCACATCAGTTTAGACTAGATCTAGACCTATCATCTTCCTTCCTGTTGCAACCAGCCTCAGGCTGACGTTAAGCCTATACTAACCATGGCCTTTCTCTTCATAACCAGTCCCTAACAGATTTAAAAAATGCCGTTTGACCCGTTTTACCGGTCGTCACATTATGTAGGCCTGGCTTACAGTTAAGCCCAGCCCATATCGGCCCAATGTAGTTTTGAATCCCTTGTAACCGTGAAAGCCAAACCATCTTCACAATGAGCCAGCCAAGTTCATCTTCATCAAATGGAAAGGTAGGTTTTGGAACTCCGGTTCGAGGCAAAGGAGTACCTGACATCTTGCCAATCGCAAGTGAATGTATTTATTCACCCTTCTTTTGGTGAGCTGTAAATTTGTATCATTACATTGGATTGCACAAAAGCAAGGACTCAGTTTGGAATACTGTTTGCTGTATGCAGCGAGGAGAATGTGTGGAAGCTGTGCGAGTACATGCATCTCCATTGCCCGGATGCCTTGCAAAATGCCTTTGTCGTCTTTGTATCCAACGAAAAGAGGGCTGTTCCGCTGTGGCGCCAGCGAGCTGGTCGTACAGAGGACAAACTTGTCATCTGGGTAATTTAATGGGAGCTCATCTTAGAAGTAGGCAGCTGGGGCATCTAGGCTAGTTATAGTGCAATTGACTTGGGCTACTTGTTACCCCTTAGGACTACCATGTGGTTCTCCTGCACTCACATGATGGGAGGTATCTGGTCTATGATTTGGACTCAGACCTCCCATTTCCCACATACTTTCACAAGTATGTGACAGAGACATTTCGGACAGACCACATCCTGAAGCCAGAATATCACAGGTGTTTCCGTGTCATCCCAGGCATTTCATTCTTGCAAGACTTTTCCTCTGACCGGTCCCACATGAAGAAGGATGGAGTCTGGATCAAGTCTCCTCCAGAATATCCTCCCATCTTTGAACCAGGTTGGTACCCACTATTCCAACAGAATATTTTCTCCATATGTGAATCAACTTTACTGCCGGAATAATTTTGTTGCATTGGATTTCCATAGTTGTGTCAGTCAAAAGAGACTGACATGGCAATAAAAGTGTTAATGTTGCTTCATGCACCAAGTACCAAGTTTTTTTAATTTGTGACAGAAAGAGGAAACAACCTGGAGGAGTTTATCAGCATGAACCCAGGGATTCCTCGAGGGGAGATCCTGTCGCTGCCGGACCTTGTGAAGAAGTTTCACTCATTTACCACATCATAGGACACAAGGCCTGTCTTTGTACTTGGGCTTGCAATTCTCTCTATCCCAGTGATATGGTATCATGCTGCTTTGCAGCCTTTAAACAAGGGCATGTTTACTTACATACGCCTTGATCAAGTCAAAGTGCAAGCTGGCAATTGCACTTTTGTTAAATTTGACAAGGTTTGTGTGCCCTTTGCCATTTCACTTTTTGGATTCCATCCAGAGTTTGAGCTTGTATACATATTTATACACTGCTTTTCACAGTTTTTCCACCGCAGATATCAATTCAGTTGTGATATACTGTATTATTGTTTGCTGATTCTGATGGTGGAGGCTTTTCATAGATCTCAAACATGCCAAAGTTTATTTGTCCACATCCTGCATGTTGTTGACTAGGCCTATGCCAGGCTTTGCCTCTCTTTCTCTCTCATGATGAGGTTGAGATCCATTTTTACTGAAACCTGTATCTGTGATCAAAGTTTGGACTTGAGTGTGTTCCTGAATTTGTGATTTAGGCCTACCCCTTGGTCAGGACTGCTGTTGCCTTTTGGTTCTCTCATCTTTCCTTGGTTCCTCACTCTTGAGTGCCTCAGGGTGTTTCCTTCCTTATTGATTTTTTGCTAGAAAGCCATGAGATTGGATCAGTCAGGGTCAGTAAATAAAATCCTCATGCATGTGTATGCAAGGAAACCTGTGATTTTTCCCCATTTGCTCTTGCATGAGCTTCAAGTTGGGATCTCAACCTCCCCTAATTTGAATAGAAGATAGCCAATCAAGACCATTTCACCAAGTTTCTTGACCTAGATATATCTTTACATGTTAAGAAGGTGCAATTGATAAAAAACCATAGAGAATGAGGAACGGGAATGTGCATTCATGGAGTAGTGCCATTTCTTGCATTATGATAATCAGGAGCTGATGTTGCATCTACAAGGACAACAAGAGAAACTCTGAGGTTTAACAACACAAGGTGAAAATCGCCATTATGAATCCATAAGAAAACCATACTGATGCATTTCACTATCACATGCCAAGATCTCTCCCTATTAGGAGTGGCCATTTCTGCTTGCAATTAATGGATTAATGCATGCAAATACATGCATGTGTCTTACTTGGATACACCCAATTGGGTGGTTCGAACCAATTTACTCATTTTGATTTTAGGACAAGCCTGTCTGAAAAACATCTTGATTGTAAAAATGCATTCCTGATATTCACAATTCAGGCTCAAAGATGAAAATCTCCCAGAAATTTGTATTTTCTAGTGCAGGGGTTGGGAACCTATGGCTCATGAGCCAAATTTGGCTCATGAACTATAAAGTTTGGCTCATGAGTCATGGTTAAAAAACATGGCTGTTCCTCATTTTTCTCATGTGTCAAATAATGCATATGTATATTGCCAACTTAAGGTAAAAATTTTTATTTTTATTTTAAATCTTTGGCTTAGGAGCACTTGGCTCAATCTTAATATGGCTCACTTGGCCAAAAAGGTTCCCAACTCCTGGTCTAGTGTACATACTGCCAAATATTTTTTCTCCATGGAAGGAGAAAGGCTTGCAAGGCTTTAAATATAATTGTCACAGAGAGAAAGAGACAACGGAATGAAGACTAAGAAATATGCCAGAGCTCATTCATTACTGAAGAACACAAGTAATCACCTTTTCATTTTGTCTTCATGAAAAGCAAGGATGAGAGAAACGAAATGTATGGTCAAACATTTGAGGGGGTAATTTCCTATGGGATTGAGTAGTAGGATGGAGATGGAAAAAATAGTCCAATCCCAAGAATTGGTACAAGATTACTTTCTAATTTCTGAATTGTAAAAGAATGGTTTTTCATAAATTTTTTTATTGCTGTCAAGGTAATGCATCCACTTTGTGAGAAAATAAAACTATTTCGCTTGAGACTGATAGATCCAAGATGCAATATTAAGCTTGGATCCTTGTCTTGCCACTCTGTTGCTCATTGAAAATTAGGCCTATAAGAGATATAGTAAGTAAAATTGCATGAAACTTGAGAAATTCATATCAATGCTTGGAATTATACATACAATCCCCCTGCATGCACATATTCTCTATGCATAAATTGCAGTATAAAATACTTGCATATGAATTATATCTTCTTGGCTGTATCCCTGATTAGGTATGGCAGCATCTTGTTCTTGATGGTATTAACACATTGAAGACAGGCACCCTACACTGCATGACTACCTTCAGAGACTGGATATATTTAAGGGGTTCAAGAGCAAAACACATTCATGCACAAAATAATTTATTTCTTTACTTACATTCACTAAATTTGGTTGAAACTTGTGGAATGTCATCTAGATGCCTCTAGTTTGTTTTCAGAGTGTGATACCTTTGAAAGCACTCTCCTTTATGAAAACACACATTTCTGTCTCCTGTCCTCAATGTGTTAATAGGATACATCTCATAAGGTTCTACCTTTATTTGAGTAAGAGGCTTACTTGACTTCGGAGTTTTCTCAAAACAAAGTATTGGTTACCATTGGATTCACTTATTTTAAATGTAAATTCTTTTCTTCTAGCACGTGTCCCTGTTTAGCAGATAAACCTGCTATCAGGTGACTAAATTTATGTATTTCATTGATGGAGTCAACTTCAGCCTAAATAATTTTGTCATATAATGTGAAATTTTTAATGTGACTCCATTCTTTATGCAAACTTCTTTCTTGCCCTCCTCGAATTTACTTCTTGGAATGAAGTTCATGCTGAAAATCCCAGAGTTGTTTCATTTCAGTTCTTTCCAATCCAAAGATCAAGGAGTCAAGGACACTTAGAGCAAGAAGGGTATTTTAATACTGTCACAAATAAAAAGATCCAATTGTGACCATTCAGACAGATGGTAGAAAAAATAATTCACTATTTCACAATAGGAATCGGACATCGAACACAAAAGTGTTAGAGAACACAATAGGGCAGAAGCACGATCCAGTCGCACAATATAGTATTTCATTCCTTCTCTAACCCTTTTTGATTGCTCTTTGTACCATGACCTCTGCACTAAATGGAATGTGCTTGAGTTAGCTATAGATATAAAAGATGTCACAAAAGTAATTACCTGTATTCATAATCTTTAATTGTAAAACACCAAAAAACTGCAGAACAGATGCTGTAGAAAGGACCACCAATAGGGGGAAACTCTGTGAGCTATGCCTTCACAAATGCACACCTTTAACATGATCCAAGATGCCATTGAACACATTTTGTTGTGTTTCCCTTCAGACTGAGCATCAACCAAGGAAGTTGCATTAACAGGCCTCACCCTTTTCTGCATTTGATCTTTGGCCTCTTCTACCAATCCATTTAATAAAAAAAAGACCATTATCCCCAGAACATGAACCAGAGCATGGTTCAAAAACGTATAAAATTAAATTGTAAATAATTCATTAACCAATGGGCAAAATGCCTAGAGGGAAAGGGGAGACAGATCAAAGTTGTATGCAGATGCACAAATTACTGGAAAAACATTTAAAAAAAAATAGGAAGTGACTCTTGTCAAATCCTATTTTATTACAGGTGTGAAATAAACAATTACATCCTTGAAAGAGCTGCACCTTTGTGATGACTTGAGCATTTGGGTATTGCATGGTAGATTGAGGCAACAACTCATTACAAATGAAATCAAGATAACTTAGAATTGAGATTGACAATATGGAATGGAGATGAATCATCGCACTGGACTAGTTACACTCAACAACAAAAGGAGAAATATTAATAAAAAAAGCACTGCTGAAAACAGGGAGAAAATCTTTGGTTTATCATGAGCATTCAAACTTTGCAACAAAAAAAAGATTCCATTAAAAATGTGAAAATTATATATTAAGGTAAAAACCCAACAGAACTTGTAATACTGCATTCCATGCTTAATTTCCACTTAACTGATTTCTTGATTGATGGTGTTATGAATGGAAAGAAGAAAAAGCTTGACAGCACAAACAACACCACTGAGATCCTAAAACAGATCTGTTGAAACAGTACCTGCTTCTAGTACTCCCTCTCATCATCCTGATCCTCAACATTCTTGGTGGCAACAAGGGATGTGAGATAATCCCTAAGGTCCAAGGCATCCTGCTCCCTCTGCCCTGGGCCAGTCTCATGAATGCATCCTTCTAAATACTCCTCCAAGTCTGCACGGTGCTCCTCAGGGATCCCATGAAGCAGACCTTCAAACATAATAGCAATATGGGCCTTGATCATAAGCACCATAAACTACCACTTCAGACCATGAGTAGGCAAGTAAGAGAATAAGTTTTAAGGCTATCCCTGGGTATCAGGAACAAGTTCAGAATCTACAGGATATGACAAATTGAGTGGATTGATGGAACCAAATATTTACATTAGATGCATTGTTTAATCCTTACACTCCCAAGCCTAAGTAGGTAGTATATGCATAAATACCCAAGCTAGTTTTAAGCCTTAGCAACCTTAGTTTAAACCTTAAACCTTAGTTTAAAGCAGAGTGTTATTTGAAAAACCATTATAAATAAAATTTAAATATTAGCACATAAAACCAGCACTGATAAATTGACACCTTGGGATTCAAAGGGTTAAGCAAGAAATCTTATGAGATGAAAGAAGAAAAACATCTTGACAGGTACAAGAATGAGTAAAAAAAAAAAAAATTATTTTTCTATGAAGATCATTCATGTCATTATGACAACACATACTGGATTGACCATTCACATGTCTGTCATCACATCACTCTCACATATGTTCTTCCTGAGTGCAATGGCCACCAATGTGAGAAGTCTGACTTTCTCAGATCACCTCACATTCCCAAGATTCTCAAATCGTAATATGGTGCTGCTTCTACCAAACACCACCTGAAGGACCTCAGCCCCTATCCTTTCCACTTTCTACTACCAGGCTCACTCTATTCTTACTTCTATCTCTACTTTCCTCTTCCATTCCAAAAATATATTCATTGTATATTTGTAAGTTCAACAAAGATATCTGCAAATTCTCAAAAACAGATGTCCTGTTTCTGGGTCAGAAGGGGCCCTTGTGCATAAAGTTTCACTCAAAACTCCATTTTGAGCTCATGCATTCACTCCAGATTTGGCACAAATTTATATGTATAGCAAGATCTGAAAGTACTCGATTTGCTATTATTTGAGATTTCTTGATAAGTTGGACTCTGTTCATGACAAATTCAGATGATGACTCTGCTTTTGAAAAGATTTGACTAGCCTCAATCAATCAATATTTAAACATTCAATGTGCAGACATGATATTAGAGTAATTAGTCATTGATGGTGGGCCTTCACAACAGAATCAGCAGGGCATGCTTGAAGAGACAGATAGAGAGAATAAGCAGACCTTGATCGGGGAGTGAGACGGGAAGAAGCCCAGGCAAGGCCTTATGCTTGGAAGAATCGCTCAGTACAAACTGACAGATGATGCCATACATGATGGATGCATGACCCTCCAGCATCCTGCAGCCCTCATCAGCACTTCTATGTGAGTGAAGGTCCTTGGCAATACCCTGAAGGCAGTCCTGGTTGCATGCCTTCTCCAGCTTACCTGGTGGGAAAATTTTTCCAATAAGTGCATTTCTTGTACAAGATAGCAAATTAAAAGATGAGTACAACATCCATATGAGAAGCTTTGGATTAGTTAAAATATTAAATTCATTACAGTCAAAGTTAAAATGCATAATTTCTGAATCTTTTCACAATAAATCTCAACAACCCAAAATTACCTTCAATCAGAACCCAGAAATTTTACCCTACCAATGGGAAAGAAGAAAAACGTAACACTGAGCAACTAATATATCTTTCCTTTTCTTAAAAAAAGAAACCATGGCATCCTGATACTTGTACAGAAATAACTTCTTTTCTATAAGGTGTTTTCAGATTTGTGTATCTACTCTGGCTGGATTTTTCTGAGTATTTAACCTGAAGCATGGGGATGAGCCAATGCATTGACAGAGAATTTATATTCTATTTATAACCTTGCCATATGTGAAGTGACACCATATTTCTAAAGTAAAGCCATTCTATATCAACTCGACCAGTCCATTTATGCTTAAGCAAAGATTTGCAGGAATATTTGTACATATGTTGTCTTATGAGAGGAAAGATGTGACTAGCCATTGAAAAAGAGGATTCTGTAAATGTTATGAGCTTTGGTATGGAACTATTTCTGAATTAATTTCATGCCAAAAAGAAATACACATTCTCAATGCTCTTTTCAATGGCTTTCA